AAAAAACTATAAGTTCAGACAGTGCGAGATGAGAAATCGGAGATGAAAAATAGAATGAAAATGACCAACAAAGCATATGATATGAAGAAAAGCAACACTAACCGTGATGAGATTTTGCGCATTAGCAATAGCGGCCTGCTGTTTCACTCCAGCAATCACTTGCTGTTGTTGCTCAGGTGTAAGCTTCTTGAGCGTTTCCAAGTCCAAAAGTTGGTCCATTTTATTGAAGGGCTATAAAGTTCTTAAAATCATGCAAGATAAAAGTGGATATAGGCATTATGAAAAGCACGGATTGACTCATTTGTCCAGAATACACAGCAGTTTCAGATTCGACCAAAAGGTTTGCGCCACTCTCCAAAAAGATTTTTGCCCGGGTAAAGATGGAAAAAGGAAACTACACTGCCCAAAGATGGCTACGCATAGTCCAGCATGACGGATACAGTGCTCTTGCGGTGCCGACAACCCTTGCGCGTAAAAACTAAAGCGGGAAATTTGACTAAGTGTGCACTGGGTCACGTGATCTCTACATTTCTTACTGTTAAATTTACTGTTTTATATTATGCCACATCTACTATCATTGTATAAATAAAAGCACAAATGTTGTAAAGTTGATTTGTTCAGATAAAGTTTGAGGCATATTGATAATGTTGAACGCAGTTCTTCCCAGTATGGGCAAAGGAATTTTATGCATAACATTTAGAGCACTAGAACCAAAGCTAACCAAAATTGATGATGAAAGCAATGTTAGGTATGAAAACAAATTGCAGCATTTGAAAAAACCTTTCCATTGATGAGGTATGATGAATGTCAACTGATTTTCTATTACACCAATATTGATATGCTGGTTTACAAGGATAAAAATCGCTGAAAGTTGCGTAAAAAAAAGAAAATATTTTGACGTCAATTATAAAGTGGTTGCTGCCGCTGCAGCCCCAACACCGTGACGCACGCGCAAGTGTAGAATTTGAATTTGCAAAGCTTTAGCGTCCCTTTTATTTTTCTTGTTTTAGTGTATACACTTTGATTTTGATCTGGTCGCATTTAAGAATATTTCAGTTTACCACT